AAGAAGATAAATATCGAAGCCAATGGTTCTCGAACATCTGTAACATATAAGGGATTATTAACAAGAGAGGGGACACAACAATATGCACAGTAAATAAATTGATGGTTGTCGAATGCCTGCAACAAACAATGGGTTAGTAACAAGAGAAAGGACGAGTACGAGACGCGCGACCACCCTCCGCGACGGCTCACGAGAAAGTGAGGAAGCTAACGCCGTTATGTGCAGGTTTGTTCGTGTTGAACTGTTTTTGCCGGCTTGAACGACCTTCCTCCTTGAACGATCCAAACACCAGATGTTACGGCCAGGTACGGCCATGGTACACAGCGTACACGGCTAGGTCAATAAACTGTGTGACGCAACGTCGTTAGCGCGTTGGACCGACGAAAAGCACCGATACCGCGGCACACTCTACCGCTCTCGCTCGCTCCCGTTCGACCGCTTCGGCCATCTCCGGCACCGACGGAGAGCACCGATACCGCGGCTCGCTTTATCGCTCTCGTTTACTTATATAGATAATAGATACACGTAATATGAATGGAATATATAACACTTCATTTGTGCTAATAATACTCAGAATTCATGCTTTATCGGTAACGTCGGGTATTGACATTAAAATGGTAAGGGGGCTTCTGACGCCCTCGAAGCATGGGACAGAAAATTACATTGCATGTTAGGTCTATTCTTATATCTCGTCGGTGATAATAGAAGTCGACACAAAAAAGAGACGGCAATACCTGGAGTAGCTGTCTCTCTAATAGTCCGCCACCTGTGTTGACCATTGCGAGTATTTTCATTCATCGAATTCATACGTTTACGCTTAGAGTACGCCACTTGTACCGTTTCACACACCAAACGCTCATTGAACCGCAGACAAGGTATACATAAATTGGATTTATTGCATTACGGGACTTCATGGCTCTAGGAATTTGTAGTTACGAGAAAGCTTGTGATTTTAGCGCTTTTTACATATTATGAGAACGTTGAATTCGGAAATTACATTAAATTTAATTTGAGCTCAGCTAGCCAAACTTCTACATTATTGGAGAATTAGATTGTTAGATTATGAATGGTAGATACATATATTCGAAAATCATCGATTAAAAGTCAATTGTAGTTAGTATATGATTGTATAAAGTTTAGACAGTTAGAACATTTAAGCCAACTGGAACGAATGGAACTTATAGTTAGAGAAGTTTCAAAGTTTCATTTCTATCAACATGCTTTCAAAATATTCATAGATCTAAAGACAATTGTTCTTGATATTCCACCTCTGATTTATACCGATAGACCTTACTCGTGGACGCGAAATAATTCTCTGTTTGACAAATACTTGCTCCTCTGCTCACTTCCAGAGTCATTCCCCATTCCCCAAAACAAGCTTCACCCAACAAAATCGCTTGTATTATACACGCCAATCTTCTTTCCGCCGAAGAAAATAGCCCACTTTCAGGCGTACAGCATTCGTATTTCATGCATATGAAGTTGATGTTTTATTAAAGCGAAACAATAGACGGTTCGGTTCGGCAACGGTAACCAGAAGGCTGCGGGATCGTTGTTTCGAAAGGACGTACGATCTTGATGAGTTTCAACGAGGGGTCCGTCGAATGTACAATTCGGTATAAAGCCGATGAAGCTTTCGGTAATGAAAAACCGATTGCGACCCAATAGGCTCCGGGCTGTCGGTGACGTGTAATCGAGTCTTCTCTTTCTGTCCCTTCATCGTCCCCTCCTTGTCTGGGCCTCTCTCATTACGCCTCTCCTACCCTCCTTTTTCCGGCCGCCATCCCTGCTGGCCATCCATTAACCACCATACGTCATATATACCGCGGGGATTCGTTTTGTCCCGGTTCCCGGTGACCTTTTATTTCAAACAGCATTCGAATTACCATGAGCCATCTCAATATTCCCCGACCCTCTGAGCTTTTGTCACCGACCGGATAGTACGACATACCCTCCTCCAACGACGTCTTTGACATCGTCGCCTTCATTTTCCGTGACTCCTTCGTCTTTCAACATCCTCTTGCGAGGAATTTCATCCTCTGGATCGTGTCTTCCACTTTGTACCTTTTTTGATAGCTGTATAGGATCGATTCGATTGATACTGCTCTCAAATACTAAAATTGAACGTTTTATCGAATTGGTACGAAGCTTCGATGATATTTATATGTGAAACACTCGATAATTCTTCTTACTCTTCTGTCCATTCGAGGGTAGACTGTTCTCTGTAGGACTCTTGAGAGTAGAAGCAACAGCTACCGGAAAGTGTATGCGGAAGTATAACTCTGGAGTCAGTATGCGGTAGGTACTAGATGACGACGATGGGAATTGTTTTGCGAAGCTTTCCTATATTTCCATTTCTGTTTTCAGCGTTCAATTTAAATAAATTTCCATCGGAATCGGGGAACGTGTTGCTGGGACAACGTTTCGCGCAGCAATAATTTTGTATTCCAACGAGGTCCCGCGCGACGCGCTAGCGCGGGCTAGCGACGCGCTTTTAATTTCAACGTTTACCATTGTTTATTTCCACGGCTTTTTGAACTCCCCGGACCGGGTAGGAACAGTCGCAACTGCTCTTCGTTCGCTTGTTCGCCTGTATTCAATAAGCAGTGCTCTCTCGGCCGAGTATTTTCTCACGTGTGGGAATACGATTTACACTATTGCCACTGGAGTTGCTTCTTTCGATTATTCAATTCTCCTTAAAAGATTCGTTATTCTGCGACGCACGATATACATTGTGCTCGTAGTTATTTCTTTCATTAACAAAATAAAGGTATATTTAGACGTGTGTACGAAATCTTAATTAAAAATTCGAATTTTCATAGACCAT